CATCAGAATGTCGAATCGGTTTAAAAGTATTGCAATGTCCTTAGACAAAGCAACACGGACTCGCAGTTACATCCATAAGGTTTGCTTTATATTCTGTTGGAACATCGTGAAATTTTACTAAGATAAAAATGAATAATTCATGCAAGGAGTTGAAGTCAAGTTTTTATTTTAATTGGTTTGATTTGGGTATAAAAAATTTGTTTCCTTCTCATTTGAATTGCTTATTTTAATTTACTGTGTAAACAACAGCTTGCAAGGCGTATCTAATAATTTTCAAATTAAACAATGGAATATGCCCGATCCGTTCCAAAATCAGTTCAATGTGCTAATTCATTCTATGGTCTAACGAAGCTACAGCATATCCTATTCTATTCCCTATATATTGCCGCTATGTATTGCGCAAAGTTTGAGCCTTTATTTAAATTAATGTTAATTAATAAAATTGCTACAGAAATTGTATATAAAATTAAACCAAAAATTAAAAAACATTTTAAATTGAATTAATGGCTTCGAACCAAAACGCTGGGAGCCAGATGCACTGATGTGTTAATGTGAGTAAGGAAAAAAAATCCATTTATTACATCCACATTTAATTTATTTTAGTAAAGAAACGAGAAATAAACGAATATTGGTTAAAATAATTAAATTAAAATAGTTTTTTAGTAAGTAAATAAATATTTTTATTAGAACTTAAAAGATAAAATATATACAAAGGAAAACAATATTGTAATTAAAACAAGTTCCTTACGATTTTCAATTATTATTTTATTCTTATTTTTATACAACTTCACACAAATAGTTGTCTAATCATTAATTTACTATTAATAGTTTATTTACTTAAGTGCTGAGTGTCACCTATACACAAGCAAAATTTTATTGTACACATAACAGCATCGATGTTGTTGCAAATTTATTGTTATTTTCATAAATCAACTCAACATAAATGTATTATCATAAAAAGTCATAAAAAATTTAAAGACAAAAGGAAAAATTCAATAACGGCCACAGTGATAAGCAGAATAAAATAAAATAAAATAAAATAATTGACGAATAAATGTCCCATTGTGCGTGGAAATTTATAAAGTAATGTGGGTAAAAAAAAGTAAACGTAAATAGTTAAGACTAACTAGTCAGTGTTACTTAGAATGTTAGAGTGCAGTTTCTTTCTTCTGGTTTAAGATGTTTTTTTTATCTTGTTGGAAAGTGTTTATGTATTTTTTATGATATTGACTCTAATATTATTTAGAATCACATTAGGAATTTTAAATGTTAAGTGGATCTTTTAGTACTTATATGTTATGTGCTTTCCATATAAAGTTCCAGATATTTCAGGGTGCTACTTTATTCTATACTGCTATTCCTATTATATACCTTATGATAATATCAAACTATCTATACCGTATGTATTTCTTAGTTAGAATCTTAAGATTCTAACTATAAATTGGTGTCATAAAAAAGTTTCAATTTATTAAAGAATTACAAAGTAATATAGAGCCATGAATATATATTCAATATATCTTGCAAATTTGAACATGATATGTTAAATGCATTAATCCTTTCACAACCCCAACCCCAAGTAATTCCAAATGCATTAGTCATCACAATGGATTTTCTCATTCTGTAATCAGGATTTTAAATTACATTTTTCAATCAATTATTAATTATTCGGAATGAGTTTTTGGCTATTTAAAAATATTTAATATTTTCATCTGCCCAATTAATTATTTAATTCTTTTGGGTAGAAATATTTAATTTTAAATATATACAAAAAAAATATATTTAATTTCCATGTCTAATTAAACAAATTTCCATTGCTTATTTATATAGACATATTTTGAAAAGAGTGCAGATTTACATAGTTTACGTACATACATACTATGTATACATACATACATGATTTTTGATTAGATTAGCTTAATTCAGGCGAAATGGAAATTGATTTTTAATTAAAACACATTAAGCAATATTTTCGCAAACTGCCGTGGCATCTGACGGCTGCGATGGAATAATTTAAACGGCAGTTTTCAGATAAATCTGCCCTGCTGTAGTGATTTAATGTAATTTACTTTGTCTAATGGAAGCCCCACAATGTCGCCGTAGAGAAACATATTTTTTTTTGTTAATTTAAACAAAAACAACTTGTGTTCTTTATAAAATAATTTTTTGTTGGGTGAATAAAAAATTTCAAAAATGTCAATTTAGCTTGCTAATTTCATTAACTTAACTAAATTAAAATAAAAAAATTTAAAAATATTTAACATAACATTGGAATGGTATGAAGCTGGTGAGGATTGGTAATTTGAAAAGTAGAGCTATCAGGGTGTTCAGACTGCAGTATCCTGATAAGGTATGTAAGGTGAAAGTTTGACATATAATCAATATAAAAGATAAATGACAATACAACCATAATTTAAACAAAATGAAGTAGAATTATTTCTAATAATAAATTTATTTATAATTTATAAAAAACTAATGCTCACCAGATACATTAATCGTAAAGTAACTAAATCAGAAGTGACTTCTAATATGTAATTATTGTAATGTAGCATTATATTTAATCCCTTTATTCCTAGATGGAACATAGGGCAGTAAAAAACTCTTGTCTCTATTGAATTTAATCTAAAGCAAGATGTTTTGTTTCACTCCAGCTTTTTCCAGCATTTCTTAATCTACTTCTTCTTCTTCAACGTGGTCTTCTAATGCGTTGAAGATTGAAATCTAAGACTTTTTTATATCATCAGCAGAGGCGAGGCGTCGAATGGTTCAGAGTGTTCACTGAACACCTTAACAAAGCTTCCTTTTTAGATTTTTTTAATTAGGTAAATAATCACGCTATTTTGCTATTTAACATTTTTTATAATAGCTTTTCCAAATATATTAACATAAACACAAAATGTATAATACAAACAAAACCACACATACATATGTTAGTTACACCTAACATTGCTTATAATTAATAAAAGAGGAAACACATTCCTCTTGAAATATACTAAGGTGCAGAATAAAAACTGCACTGCGTCGCTTAAAAAGCATGCAAATGAAATAACATTCACATTGGGACTATGTTCAATATTGAATACACAACACAAAACATACAAAGAAATATATGTACGTAAAATAATCTTAACTCTTAAATTAATGCGTGCAAGCAGTTCAATAAAAAAAGTGCACTTCCAATGTTATGCAAAGTAAATACAAAAGAGAAAAGAAATGACTGAGCGAAAATCGCTTTACATATGACGAGAGGATCATTCCACTAAACTGAACCAAAAGTTTATACAAAGCGTGCAAATACAATCAAAGTCACGGTTGCTGTTTTATATGGGGAAATGGTTCAGTATAAAAACTGAACCGGGCATAGTAAATACAAAGTAAAAGAGTAAATGAATGCATAAGAGTTTCTTACTCTTATATAGAGGTTGGAAATAAATCAAAACAAAGTCATTATTGCAATTTTATACTAGCAAATGGTAAAAGTAAAGAAAGAGATTAAAGAAATTTGAAGTGAAAAATAATATTAAGAAATGGATAAATGTGTGATTAAAGATTTGATTCAAATATCTTTTTTTAAACGATCTTCTGAAAAAATAGTTTTAATTCATAAAATGAATAGACCAACTTCAGATATGAAGAATTTGGTACCTGATGTAAAAATGTCGAAATCTGTGGTAAGTCGCCGTTTTCATAAAGCTATTTACCATAAAAAAAAGTGGATCACAGGCTGCGAACATTTAAATAAATTGTTTTGTTGGTCTTGTATGCTGTTTGCTTGTGGAAAGAACAAAACTTAGAAGTAGAGGAAATACGTTATAGTTGGAATTTTGTTTTGATCAAATTCTGAACACCTTGCCAAAAAGCTGACGCCTCGCTACTGATCATCAGCTTTGGTTTTACTGATATTGATTAAAAGACTAGCTGCCAGATACTTGCATCTGGGAAAGGTTATGTGTTAGCAAACAAATGTTAACCGCGTAGTCAAGGTCAGTAAGTTTGTCTTGAACGTCGAATGAGATGCCGTTAGCGGCACTCTTAGATTCCGACTTAACCACATGTAAGACTATATTAAATATGTTAATAAAAGTGAAAGGATTCAGCCTTGCTGAACGTCAGACTTAATTTGAATTTATTCATTGAGACACCCTTCGTGAAGTACTAAGTCTGAGTACAAATTTATTAATTTGCTCGGTATATCTTTACGTTATAATGCAGTTTGCTCAACTCGCAGTCTAGGCTCAACGGCTGATGTTTTGCGGTTGTGTAAGATTTGAGCGATGACTTCATAAGCTGCATTTAGTAAAGTTATGCCTCTCCAGTTGGAGCATTCCATCAGGTAGCCTTTCTTTGGTAGATTAATAATGATGCGTATTTGCTCTTATATGTATGTATATAAAACTTTTATAGAGGATATATAAGAAATATATATTAAAGTTATATATAAAAAAATATAAATAAAACTGATTTACTACTACTTGAGCCACTCTAGCATCTTCGGACATTGAAGGTATTCAATCCCAATGTTTAAATTCGAATTCGAGTATATTCGAAGACTCGCCCGTATACCTCGTAGCGCTAATTCTCAACCAATTCTATACATATCAAAATTCGTAGCATTTATGCAAATTTGTTTATCTCATTAATTAATTAAGTGAAGAATTTTTTTAATTTATTATATATTATTTTGTTAAAAAATTATTTATACATAACATATGTATGTATAGTGTATGTATTTATATTATTTTATAAATATTCAATCGCTATTTAATTTGTAAAATTTTTGAGGAGGTATTTTTTATTTGTGCATATGTGGATATAATGTATCAATGTTTATATATATTTTTATATATTATATATGTATATACATAATTATATGCGAAAATTTATTTAGTGCTTGTTTTTTACGCTTTACTTAATAGCTTTTATGGCAAAAATTTAATTTATGAGTCAAGTTGAGATAAAAAATTAATCATAAAATCAAACTAAACTGAAATTCAAGCACTCACCAACATTAAAATTGCAGTTTTGTCAGCGCAGCAATTTTTAGAATGCAGCAATGTGCAGTTCAGAGGAAAATTGCAGTTGAAGTTTTTGTTGTTGTTGTTGCTGTTGTTGTTGTATTTGTTTTTGTTATAGTTATTGTGTAGATAGTCGTTGAATTCTTATTCAACTTGAATAGACTTGAAATCACTGGCGGGCGTTTAAGCCGGCGTATTAACCTTCAACTGTGAAAATACGCATGAAAACTGCGGTACGGTTTATTATCAGCAACAGTTGTTCAGTCAATTCTTCCCCCGTTTGTTGTTGTTCTTTTGATTGTTAATAAAAGTAACCAACATTTAATAATTATTAATGTATTCTTGTTTTCTTTTTGTTTTTGTTTTTGTTTTTATTTTTATTTTTTAATTAATTTTTATTTATTTATTTTTGTTTTATTTTTGTAAAGTTAGTTACGCATTAAACGTTTTACTTAGACACTTTGCCTTCAAAACACACCTCCAGCAAAATCGTAAATTATTTCAGATACGAAATGCAAATAGTTTACGAGTATGCAGATTTATTGCACTAAGTTTCAAAAAAATTCATTTTTAAATATTTGGAATATATAACATGAGTGTTTCAAACCATGCCATTTACATTTCATAAAAGTTAGAATTTTATAGTATTTTAATAATAGATCAATTATCCGCAGTCTCTGTAAATGAAAACTCTTAAAACCATTTAACAAAGAAAAACAAAAAAATTTACATTAGAATTTTAAGTTTCTATTGAAATATGTAATTATATGTGTTTATATTTATTTCATTTTATTTAAAATCATGTAAATAAAACTTTTTACATTGCAGAAAGGAAATGATGGAATCCTGGCACACCTGTTGTAACAGTTCTCATCGATTAGAAAATAGGTACGAAAACTTTAACCCCTATTTAGTAAGTATATTAAGTAGAAGATGTCTTCCGAATGTATCTGAGATCGATAATAGAATAATAGATATATTGTTTAATCACACTTAAGTTCAACAACTGTACACATATCAATAGAATAAAAGTGGAAGTAGTACAATGACACCAACTTCATAGAACTTGAAAGAATAATGTGGATTGATCATATACCATTAGTCTACAGTTTAAAGTATACATACAAAACATGTATTATAATAAATTACAAAAAATTTTGTAAAATATTCTCTTCAAGACAAAATAATTCAAAAAATAGGAGAACTTCTTAAACAACTCATCAGTACTTTAAATATGGGAGTGTAAAGTGTATGCTCTCAAAAGAAAGCTTAGGTATTATACTAAGTATGTGCAGGCGTAAAAGAGAAATTGGGATAAAAGGGGAAAATTTAGCTCAACAATAGAACGAAAGAGTATTAACTAACACACTTCTTTAAAATGTTTACTCTTTCCACTCATTCTTCTGTTAACTCTCTGTTGACCAGAAAACATCTACAATTAAATTATCATACTATTCAGTATGAAGCTGAATAGTTTATATTAATTTGTCTTCCCAGATTTTTAGAAGGGCGTAAGATGGTACATTCTATTGACTATTGCATATTAGCACTTTTGTATTCAAATATAGAATAGAAATTAACATAATGGAACACATTTATCTAACAATCTTCTGAACACATTTCCTTAATAGCTTTGCCATATATTCAAAATTGTACACTCAGTATAGAGTAGACTCTACATTTTTTTAATATTAAGATCCTTAAGGATACAAAATATAAGACACATGACACAAATCTGTACTATATTTACTTTTTAGTTTATAATCGAAAACCTAATATGAAACTTTTTGCTAACAAGATTATTTAAAAATATTTGAAGATATCTTGAATTAAAATCAAAGTCTGAAATAGCTCATGTGAAAAACAATGTAATTACAATTATGTTTAGATTAGATTAACTGGACATCCTTAAAGTCCTTGTGGCAGGAGCGTCAGTTCCTAAAGATTCTTGCTAAATATCGAAAAATATGTTGTATAAATGGGTTCAACTTTTATCACGCGATATACACATTTATTAAATGTTAATTTTAACTTTGTGTATCTAAGACAAATCATCCATTTCGAATTAAAATGAAGATTATAGTGCGAAAATTTAATTACTAAAATTAATTTACTTTTAATTGAACTTATTAGGTTTAGCATATATAAAATTAATTATTAACCCCGTATAAAATATTAAACTACAAAATTAGCAGCTGTTAAATTACTTCATCTTTGAATCACTAAATCTAAATCGTTACTAAAGTTGCATAAAGCTCTTAGTTGGGTACTGCAAGCATCAACGACGGACTCAGCAATAGTGAATCAGTCGATCAATTTACAAAGAAATTTACCCATTTATTAGGCTACATTAATTATTTAAAATGTTAAATGAAACAATTCAAACAATTCCTTCGAGTCAACAATAGAAATGTTAACAAATTTTTCAATGTTTTAGAAATATGAACTCGAATATATCACGGCGTAAGCTTCACCTTTCAAACATGAGATTGAACCAGATTGACACTGTGAAAATCAGAGTTAAATAATCCACTATCCTCTCTGTCAATATTCTGCGCTTGTCAATAAATAGATCCAATATACGCATTAGGCCCTCATTGAATTGAACTGAATGACTATAACTCACTGACACCTTTGAGATTCACAAACTCAATAGATATATATCGCACACTCTCTTCGTTAATTTTCAGAAAATGCAGAAAATGTTTTGCACCGTAGTGTCATTCCTAACAAAAAAATAAGAGATATAACTGTTTTTTTTTTCGAGAATTTGCAATAATAAAAACAATGTGGAATTTTTCATATAGGTAGACAGGTACACTATAAACAAAATTGACGAATTCCGAGTTGTGCCTCTTTTAAAGAGGATGTGAGATATATCTTTGGCCTTTGAGTATAACTTAATATATTATTATTGTTAGGGGATGAGTTCGGGATACTATGATATCCCTAGCGAAAGTCTTCCTATGCTAACCTGAACATATTAAAACGATAGCTATTTATAACTATATTCCTTCAAAGCTCCGGAACTTATTCTTCATTTCTAAGCATAGAAGTCTCTCGCCAGTTATGGTGCAATAGGTTTTTGAGATCGCACAATGGATGTACAATGGGATAATAACATTAATAAAAGAGCTGAAATTTAAATACATACTAATCTTAGAGTAATCACTAACCGAACAGGGCGGTACGCAGATCTTAGATCAGTCATTGAATAATCACGAAGCTTATGAGAAATACACAAATTAGTCAGTGAGATGGGTGGGGCTCTGCAGAAACCCCGCAGCTATCAAAGAGTAAAAGTGCCCAGATGTACTAACTCGAAAATGGCTCAACAAATGTTCATGTTAAAAGAAATTTATCTTACTCTTACGTTGCTCATACATCGCCCTGCGTTGAAGTAAGGTCTGAATCTGAATCGGAAGCCACCTGTAATGACCATAAACTATTAAAAAACCATTTCGGCTCATTATTATTTTTTATGAAGTCGACGTGACACACGTGAATGTCACTTTTAATTTCGAGCAAACATTTGAGGCATTTAATTTACTCGAAAGTCGATAAGGAAATTGTTTAAATGAATTTGAAATGGAATTCGTTGAATATTTTTAAGTTTTTTGTGGAAGCAGAAGAATTTGTCGAAGCAGTCGGGAATTTAATCAGTGCAGGCTTGAAAGCATATGTAGTTTTCGTGTTGCAATTAAACTTCGAGGGTAGAACACGGGGCTTGGTAGAACCCCAACAGAGCAACGCCAGTGAGCCTATAAACAATTAAAATCACGTCTAAGCAAAATTGTTGAAAAATTTACAAAACTACTGGGAACAACAACAACAACAATACAGTAGCACACCAAGATTTTACACAAAAACACGTACATCGTTTACGTGTAACACTTAACAGTTTTCTTTCGAGAAATTTTTAATTTTTTTAAAATTTTTAATATTTATAATATATTTTTATTGCGCCTTTATCAGTGTTAAACGCTGAAATAAATAATTTTTCAAATACTTTTTACTGATTTTTTATATTTTTATTTTGTTTTTTTTTTGCATTTTAACTATTGTAATAACTTTATTTTATTTTTTTTTATGTAATAATTAATCTTTTGAAAAATGTTTTTTTTTATTTTTATTTTTTTGTTTTTGTTTTTGTTTTTGTTTTGTTTTCATTGCATAGCGTGAGGAATTGCATATTTTGCCTTTGATATTAACCTTTGAACTATTGACCGTTATTTTTCCTGAATTATTTGCTGAGCACCGATTTGAACCCTTTTATGAGGAGCTACCAACGACGACTAATTTCAAAAAATTCTACTTTCACTCGACACAAAATCGCACTGGCACACAAAAGGTCCTGCGATGTTTTCGCTTCGCTGTTTACTGTTTATTGTTTGCCGTTTGTTGGTTGTTAGTTGTGCGCTTGACGTTTAAACTTTAAGCGTGCACCGTCAATGTTTTGCCGATTTTCGTTTCACGTTACGAAACTGCCAATAACGTTTTGCCGTTAAGCGTTTATAGTCAGTGTCCGTAGACGACCGTCTTGTCGGCTTTATCAACGCAAACTGTTGAGAACGTCGCGTCGATTTCGCAGTCTCGCTTGCCATTCACCATTGCGAAACATCCACCAGCAGAGGAGTTCTGCCAACACGTAGGCGATGTTTTCTATTTTGCTTCAACAACAGCAAAATAGAACCAAAGAAAATGCTTGCCTTTACACAGTGAAGTAACGGAAAAACATCGTCAACTGAAGCTTTTGCAAAAGCTTTCATAAAATGTGGAACATCTTCGCAATGTTATGAACCAATAGATTCTACATATTTTTGGCATAAGCGTTTGGTAAATGAAATATTTATTTAACAATATATATATAAAAAATAAAAAAATTAATAGATTATTTTATCTTCTATTTTTTTAAAAATAAATTATTAATTATATTAATATTAATCAAAAATTAATTAATAAAGTTTACTTTATTTTTATTATTTTTAATTAATATGTTATTTCATAAACTTTATTTTTTTTAATTTTAAATTTAATATACAACACAATAACTATTATTAGTTAAAGATTTTTTAATTAAAAAATTCAGAAATTAATCAAGTTCGTAGAAAAAGTTTTCATAACAAGTAAAGTAAATAGTAAATAGATTATTTCATCTTCTATTTTTTTTTAATAAAAATATTAATTATATTAATATTAAAATATTAATAATTAATATTAATATTAAAAATTTATTAATAAAATTTACTTTATTTTTATTTATAATTAATATTTTATTTCATAAATTTTAAGTTATTTTTTATTATTTTAAATTTAATATACAAATACAATTAATATTA